ACAAAGTTAGCTGGGTACCTTTGGGCCAGTCACTTTCTTTCAGGCCGAGGAAAGAGGCATCAGCAAACCACTTCTGAAAAATTTTGCAAGCAAATTGCGTGGACTTGCCTAGGCAGTCTCTGAGAATCAGACATGATTGAACAGAAGGAAAAAAAAATCTGTTATACCTAATTGCCTAGCTAGCATCAAGAATTCACTGGAACTAGTGGTTGCCTCTAGTGCTTATAATAGTAAGAAAATTATTGTTGTTGTTGTTAGTTGTCATCATGGAAGCTCATATATCTTAAAGCAATTCGCTTCTTATCCAAATAATAAGATTATGATTACAAAAAGAGAACAATGCTAACCTTTTAAATTTTGCATTGCCTTTACCAATTTGCTTTCCCACCAAATCTCAGTTCCATTGTATTTTAAACATTAAAAACTGCCCTTTGGGATGATACAAAGAAATATTTTTATTTTTCTAAATGTGACAAACCAAACCAACAAAAAAACAAATTAATAATTCAAAAACAGAATATTTACTACTACCCCCCCGCCCCCACCCCACCCTGGTCTGAATCAAACTTGGCAAGAAAATAGAAATGAGTTGCTATGTCTTTTTCCAGGATGTAGTTTCCATCCCATTATTAATCAGGGCCAACTTTGCGGTCTTATATATCCGGGTGCTTTCCTCCGATACAAGATCCTTTCTATGCTAAAGTTCACTGTTCCACTACAGAACTCACCGAAAACAAGATGCAGGAAATGCATGTCTGATCATCTTTCCAAAAACCCACAGAGGGTTTTTTTTTTTAGCTGACTGCTTTTGATTCACAGAATAGGATGACGTAATCACATATAGTATATAGTATCTAGGTTCCTAGGTTCCTCACTTGACCCGGATACTTGCTGGTAACGTTAGCTTAAGCACTATCTTCTAGTTTAAGTATCTGGCAGAATTGTTCTGAGGATAAAACTGGGAAAAGAAATCACATAGATCAGTGGTTCTCAACCTTTTTAATGCTGCGACCCCAACCGGTTGTAAGTCGAGGACTAAACCGGTCGTAAGTCGAGGACTAAACCGGTCGTAAGTCGAGGACTAAACCGGTCATAAGTCGAGGACTACCCAACCGGTCGTAAGTCGAGGACTTTCCCTGCCCGGGAGCACCGCGCATGCGTGGTTCCGTCCCCTGCGCCGGCCGAGGCGTAGCTGGCAAGCAGCAGAGATGGAGCAGGCCGACCACCAGCTGGCCCAGCCCAAGGGAGGTAAGGCACCCGCCGGAAAAGGGGAAAAAAATGGCGGACAGCCTTGCTTGGCGACCCCCGTAAAATAGTCGATCGACCCCAAATGGGGTCCCGACCCACAGGTTGAGAACCACTGACATAGATAGACTATCCTTGGAAAACAGGACACTTGCAAACAAATTCAGCTAAGGTAATTTTTGAGGACAAATTTTGTTTCTCGAGTGCTACAATTAAAACCCAAAGCTAACAGGATGGAGATGGCGACCCAGGGTCACTTTATGTGAAATGGGTGGCCATATAAATGGGAGAAATAAATAAATAAATCTGAAAAACCCATAACACGGAAGGCTTTTAAGTGCTTCCTCCCAACCTTTCTTCCACCAGAAACTTAAGTCAATAGTTAAGTTTCCAAGCAGATCAAAATTCTAGATACTAACTAAATGCAGTTCTCATTTGCTTTTAACAGATGAACTACACTAAGCATCTTCATACATTTATATTTTTCTAATACAAAAGTAAATGCTTCCTCTATGTGAAAGAATGCTACCTTTCGCCTCTTTCGCTAGTAATGTTGTTATGGTTTTAGTAAGCAGGTCAAATTTTAATCCAAGACTGGGCCTTCTGATTTCATGTTTTTTACACGGAATTCACCTCATAGTAAAATCAAGTCATAATGAGGAGTTTCCGCACTCAGTCACTCAAGCCCTGGTCCTGCATTTAGACTACTGCAATGCATACATGGGACTACCCTTGAAGAGTATCGGGAAGCTTCAGCTGGTGCAGTATATAGGTGCACGGGCAGTTCTAGGGGCCCCTACAGTGACCTATGTTACATCACTGAATTGCACTGGTTGCCAGTTTACTTCTGGGTGCAATTCAAGATGTTGCAATTCAAGATGCATGGCTCCAGGCTATCTAAGAAACCAGCTCACCGCATAGGATTAGCCTACCCTAAACATGCTGCAGGGGCATGCTGCAGACCCCGTCAGTCAATGAATTTCATCTGACGAGGTCCAGAAGAACTTTTTCTGCCGTGGCTCCTGGAACATCTTCCGCCCTCCTGAGATCAGTTCCACTCCCCCTCTTTTGGCCTTCTGAAAGGCCTTGAAGACATGGCTATGCCAACTAGTCTGGGATCCCAGACTGGGGTGTGGCACTTTGGAGGTGGCTAATGGAGTAGATAACACTCCACCTCTTGTCTGTGAGCACTTTGCTCCCTCCTTCTCCCTCCTGCCTAGTATGATTTTAATTGAATTTTAAATGTAAGATCTTTATTTATTGTTTTAATGTTTTAACGTGCATTTTATTCTGTGTCTGTAAGCTGCCGAGACACCTTTGGCAAGATAGGTGGCATACAAGTTTGACAAACAAATAATATATCCAACTGCACAAAGAGAGTTTTTCCCTTCATAGATTGGATGTGTTTTGACACCAGTAGTCACAGATCACAGATCTGTGATTCAATTTTTGGCATAAGCATAGTTGCAATGCAGTTGCTAAGGCTCATTCATGATTTGTGAATTAGCAGAACTTCCAAGTGGACTCTATGGAAAAATTAGCAGGATCCACATCTCCGTTTTCTGAGGTATCAGATCCATTACTAGGAGTACAGGTAGTCCTCAACTTATGACCACAATTTATGTTGTTAAGTGAGTTTTGCCCCATTTGAAGACTTTTCTTGACACGTTTGTTAAATGAATCACTGCCGTTGTTAAATTAGTAAGACGGTTGTTAAGTGAATCTGGCATCCCCACTGACTTTTGCTTGTCAAAAGGTTGCGAAAGGTGATCTAATGATCCCCGGACAGTGCAACCGTCATAAACGTGAGTCAGTTTGTCAAGCATCCGCATGTAAATCACTAGACCATGGGGATGCTGCAACGGGTCGTTAAGTGTGGAAAAATGGTCATTTGGTCACTTTTTTTTCCAGTGCCGTTGTAACTTCGAACGGTCACTAAGTGAACTGTTCTAAGTCGAGGACGCCCTGTAGTTCAGGGCTTTTCAACCAGTGGTATGGGTACCACCTGTGGTACATCGGCACCTGGCAGGTGGTAGGCGACCATCCCAGAAAAGTGGTAGCGGGGGAGGGGAATGAGCTAAACCGCTGGCAGCACCGCACAAGCCTGAGCAAGAGATGGCTGGAGCTGCAGGGCTGTCAGGGCTCAGCGGAAGCGCCAGGATCAGCGCCACTCTCCAGCTGGAGCTCAGCGCTGATCCTGGCGCTTTTGCTGAGCCCAGAAGAAGCACCAATCAGCTGGAAGTTTGCAGCATCTCCAGGGTCTTGTGATTTACATTCAGATGCTTGGCAACTGATTCATATTTATGACGGTCACAGTGTCCCAGGGTCATGTGAAGTGACCAAAACCTGCTGCAACCACCCAGCAGACGCGGGGAATAAAAACCAAACACCCCCCCACCCCACCCCTGCTGCCAATCCTCAACAGAAATGCTCACAACAATGAAAACCTCGGACAGGAGGAAAAGCACCGCTGGATGGGCAGGCAGGTGTCTTGCTCGGCTGTGGCTTGGGGGCCACTTTTTTCAGTGCCATTGTAACTTCAAACAGTCACTAAGCCAGTGGTTCTCAACCTGTGGGTCGGGACCCCATTTGGGGTCAATCGACCATTTCATGGGGGTGGCCAAGTAAGGCTGTCCGCCATTTTTTTTGTCTGCCATTTTTTTTGTCCGCCATTTTTTTTCCCTTTTCCGGCGGGTGCCTTACCTCCCTTGGGCTGGGCCAGCTGGTGGTCGGCCTGCTCCGTGTCTGCCGCTTGCCAGCTATGCCTCGGCCGGTGCAGGGGGCGGCACCACGCATGCGCGGCGCTCCCGGGCAGGGAAAGTCCTTGACTTACGACCGGTTGGGTAGTCCTCGACTTACAACCGGTTTAGTCCTCGACTTACGACCGGTTGGGGTCGCGGCATTAAAAAGGTTGAGAACCACTGCACTAAGCGAACTGTTGTAAGTCAAGAACTACCTATACTTCATCACTTTTTTCCTTTTTTTTTTTTTGGGTCATCAAGTTTTTGACACCTTGCTAGGCGCCTGGTGGTACTTGGATGCTTCCATATCCTAAAAGTGGTACAATGGGTGAAAAGGTTGAAAAGCCCTGCTGTAGTTCGTGCAAACTGATGGGAGAACCCCTTCCGAGGATTCCCCCTGTCAAAAGGCATCAATCTTCTTAGAGGCTTAGGCGTTAACTGTCACCTTAGCACCTCCGCCCTCTACCGTTGCTTTCTGGCCTGTACAAAAACAAGACCCAGACGACGGAGCCTTCCTTCGCAGACAAGACAAGACACGACAGCTGCGCCCTTTACACCCAGCCCGCCACGCAGCTCCGCCCCTTTTCCCAGCCAAGCCCCACCCCCGACCGCGCGCCCCTCCCGAGCCCCGCCCACTCCGACCTCTTTGTTCGATTTCTTCAGAGCGCGCGACGGCTCCGCCCCCCCACCGACGGGGAGGGGGGAGCTGTGGAAAGAAGCGGCGCTATCCCATCATGCACCACGCCCCCTAACAAGACAGGTAGTACACTTCTTGAGAGACCCGGATGGATGGATGGATCGGATGGGGCGGATTGGGGGGGGGGGAGGAAAGCAAACCAACGAGAACTCGAGCCCCGAAAAGAGGCGAGGCCGTTGGGCTCTACAAAGCCGATCGCTCCCTCTCCGGGGTGTCCTTCTACTTTCCCCTCAGGGCTCTCGTCGTTTTTTGCCCAGTAGTCCAAGGGGCGGGGGGAAGGGAAAGAGAAGAGGCGAATGGAGAAGAAATAACGGCACCTTTCAGTATTCCGCCCCTCCCCTCTGCGCTTCCGAGCCCCGAGGCGCACCTCGCGTAAGCAGCCTTTCAGACACCGAGGCTCCCAGCTGGCCGTTGCTTCTCGCCCTTCTTTATTCAGGTCCCTTTCTCCTTTGCCACCCCCTTCCTTTGGATACACAACAACCCTCTTAGGCCGGATATGATGTCACTTCCTCCGCCTGCGTGTGTTTTTTTTTTTTTTTTTTTGCGAATACCCGTTTCTACCCAAGTTCTCTCACTTCCGGTAACGGCCGTAGATATACCAAAGTCTAGAGCGATTCCTTTCCTGTCTATATAAATAAGGGCGCTTTCCTTTGAATGTTTCGAAGTGACCGTTATTCTCTCTTCTCCCTGCCTGGGAAGAAAAAATTGGAAAGGGGAAACTATGATCCAAAACCGGCTTAAGAAGTATTTTTCAATATTGGACGCTACCTGTGTAAGCCAGGCTCGAAAACTACAATTATTTTTTCTTAAGAATTTCTTTAGACTAGAGCAGGGGTAGGCAACCTTGGCTCTTTTATGACTCCTGGACTTCAACTCCCAGAATTCCTGAGCCAGCGTGGCTCAGCTTGGAAACCTCTCCCTTTCCCCTCAGCATGGCTGGCTCAGGAATTCTGGGAGTTGAAGTCCACGAGTCATAAAAGAGCCAAGGTTGCCTACCTCTGGACTAGAGGATGAGCCAGTTAGAAGTCAGACTTCCGACAACCTATAAAATTTGACGTTAAGGCCTTTTAAACCACATGCACGGTGAAATCACTCCGTTCACTCTGCTGATTTATTGAATAAATCTTGGCTGGGTTTGTTCAATAAACTAAAATGTCAATTTTCATACAGACCGCAGATATCAAGCAGGTAACCCGTCTCTTAGGGTGCGATGCAAAACTCACCCTGAAGGTACTATGTCAGTGGTGGTGAACCTATGGTACAGGTGCCAGAGGCGGCACTCAGAGCCTTCTCTGTGGGCACGCACACCGTCGCCCCAGTACTAGGGCTTTAGCTGGGTTTTATAAAACCTTTTCGCTTTAGGCCTCCGCCGCCATGTGCAAAAAAAAAAGGGGGGGGTTCAATCAATCAGTCAATTTCAACTTCTTGTGGGAAAAAAAAATCTTGCAAAGTTGGAATTGATTGATTGAACTTTTTAGTCCCACCCAGTCTGCCGTTACCACTGCAGCCACGCCCACCCAATGGGCCACGCCCAGCCAATGGGCCACACCCACCAGGCACCCAACGATGCATAAGTGGTTTTTGGGTTGCAGTTTGGGCACTCGGTCTCTAAAAGGTTCCCCATCACTACTACAGTGGTTCTCAACCTTTTTAATGCCGTGACCCCAACCGGTCGTAAGTCGAGGACTAAACCGGTCGTAAGTTGAGGACTAAACCGGTCGTAAGTCGAGGACTTTCCCTGCCCGGGAGCGCCACGCATGCGTGGTTCCGCCCCCTGCGCCGGCCGAGGCGTAGCTGGCAAGCGGCAGAGACGAAGCAGGCCGACCACCAGCTGGCCCAGCCCAAGGGAGGTAAGGCACCCGCCGGAAAAGGGGGAAAAAATGGCGGAGAAAAAAAATGGCGGACAGCCTTGCTTGGCGACCCCCGTGAAATGGTCAATCGACCCCATATGGGGCCCCGACCCACAGGTTGAGAACCACTGCTGTACTACGTTATACTTCTCATAGTTGGCGATGACCTATCATTCTCTTCAGGTTTTCAGGGTGAAGAAATTGAATTTAGAAATTGAATATAGGGAGGAAGTTTAAGATGCTGTCTTTTAAGTCCCATTAAAATTCCAAAAGTTGCTTAAGTTATATCTAATTATAATTACAGATCAGTTCATTCGATTTTAGCCCTGGACACACTGATTTTCTGAAGTGCAAATTCCAGAATACAATTTGAAGATCAAGTGTTACTGACCCCCCCCCCTAAGATTGGGCACCCTCCTTTAGCACACTATTCCACTTAACTGACTTTTTGCATAATTAATTGCAGAAGCTTTTACCAATCCTAGCAGGCTTCCCTTTTTAAACCTTATCAAGATTTAAGTATAATGTACAATCCCTTCCCAATGACTTCCTGGCTAGAGGGTTCTAATTCTTGTACTCGTTGCATCTGCATTAGTCAGAATGGTCTTGTAAGATGTACTGTTAACAGTGCATTTAATGGTAATCCAAGGAACATCCATTTAATAGTTTAAAAGAAAATTTCTGAGATCAAATACCAACATAAAGGAAAGGCATAGTTAGTATAATTAGCATTTCTTAGGAGTGTTCAAAACATAGCTAGCTCAAAACAACAATTTTGAATATTCTAAAGTTGAATTAACCCACAGTGCATCCAACCTTTTGGCTTTTGCTTGGAACAAGAGAGAGCAATTATTTCCACGTTCTCATTCTTTAGCTAAAGGAATTAAAATCAAGCCAGCTAATAACGGGAATTTGGAGAGTGCATTCAAACAACTGATACAAAGGTGGCATTAGACAGGAATAATAGAATGATAAGGCTGGAAGAGACTGGGAGGTCTTCTAGTCCAATCCCTTGTCCAAGGCAGGACTCCTTATAGCAGTGGTTCTCAACCTGTGGGTCGGGACCCCATTTGGGGTCGATCGACCATTTCACGGGGGTCGCCAAGCAAGGCTGTCCGCCATTTTTTTTGTCCACCATTTTTTCCCCCTTTTCCGGCGGGTGCCTTACCTCCCTTAGGCTGGGCCAGCTGGTGGTCGGCCTGTTCCGTCTCTGCCGCTTGCCAGCTACGCCTCGGCCGGCGCAGGGGGCGGAACCACGCATGTGCAGCGCTCCCGGGCAGGGAAAGTCCTCAACTTACGACCAGTTGGCTAGTCTTCGACTTACGACCGGTTTAGTCCTCGACTTACGACCGGTTGGGGTCGCGGCATTAAAAAGGTTGAGAACCATTGCCTTATAGCATCCCATACAAATGATTGCCCAATATTTAAAAAAAAAATCCTCAGCAATTGAGTACCCATAACTCCAGGAGGCAAGCTGTTCCATTTATTAATTATTCTGTCAGGAAATTCCACGTTTCCAGGTTGGTTCTCCTGATGAACTCCCACCCATAACTTCTTGTCCTGCCCCAGGTGCTATGGAGAACAAATTGGCCCCTCTTTCTTCTGACAGCTCTTCAAGTATTGGAAGATGACTATCGGGTCTCCCCTAAGCCTTCTCATCATTAGGCTAAACCCTGTATCATCATTTTTGCTCTTCTCTGCACTCTTTCTAGGATCTCTTTTTTTGTATTGTGGCAACCAGAACTGGACACTGTATTCCAAATCTGGGCTCTCTAGTACAGTATAGAGCGGTAGTATCACTTTCTGTGATCTTGAAACCATCCCTCTGTTTTACAGAGGGGATGTCAAGTTTTTATATAGGGAAAAAAACACAAAGGATATATATGATACATCAGAAACAACAAATTAAACAATAAAAGATATCGATGTGCTTTATTAGATGTGAGAAAAGACAAATTCCCTTAAAATATGTTGCATTTCCTACTTCCACATTCTGGTTTATTTAACACTTGCAACTGTAATCAAATAGTCCTATTGTTTGGTTATTGAAAAGGCTAGTTTTTCCACATCAAAGAAAATGGCTTTGACTCAAAGGAAAAACTTGTTTCCTGATCTTCAAAAGGAGGCATGGATGCTATGCTAAAATGCTAATATCATCTTCCAGAAATGCTAATAATAAAGCCTAAATTTTTACATGTAACACTTTTATTTCATTACCACAGGTTCCATTTTCATTTTCAGCTATTATCAGCATAGCCCAGGTTGATGTTTCTTGTTCCAGTTTGAGAACCACATACACTTTCTTCCAATCCAGTTTCCCGCAATACGTATCCGGTATATAGGTTGAATAAATAAATAAGAGCACATTATACAGTCTTGCCTCACTTCTTTGCTGATCTGGAATTTGTCTGTTTTACCATTTCTATCTGGGCTGTGGCTTTTAGACCTGTATATAGATTTCCCTTGAGGACAATGAGATGTTCTGGGATTCCCATTTATCTGAGCACATTCCACTTGATATGACCAACACAATGAAAAGCTTTTCTATAATCAGTGAAGCACCTATTGAGTTCCTTCTATTATTTTTGTCTTTCTTTTTTAAAAAAAAAATTATTGAAAATTTTAATTACAGTAGTAAAAGTCAATGCAAACTAACTTCAAAAAGAAAAAGAAAAGAGAGAAAAGAAGCAAAGAAAAAAAGAACAAATAAGAAACAGGGAAAATGAATATTTAAGGCAAGTGACTTTCAATCTTTATTACAAATACAAATTTAGTAATTTGCCATCATGTATAAGGATATGTGCAAGTGTCTCTTCTTTCCATAACTCCGTGGTGGCGAACCTATGGCACGTGTGCCACAGGTGGCACGCAGAGCCCTCTCTGTGGGCACACATGCCGTCGCCCCAGTCCTAGGCCTTCAGCTGGGTTTTATAAAACCTTTTCGCTTTAGGCCTCCGACGCCGTGTGTAAAAAATAAAATAAAATTCAATCTATCAATTTCAACTCGCGAGAAAAAAAAGGATCTCACAAAGTTGGAATTGATTGAACTTTTTAGTCCCACCATTTGCTGTTACCACAGCAGCCACACCCACCCAATCGCCCACGCCCACCCAATGGGACACGCCCACCCAGCACCCGACAATATGTAAGTGGGTTTTGGGTTGCAGTTTGGGCACTCGGTCTCTAAAAGGTTCGCCATCACTGGTATAAGGGATAGAGGGTGTGTGTGGTATCATTTCCGTCAATTTATACAATTTTTACAGTTAATCGGCATAAATATTACATATCTTTCATAATTAGATAAAAATGCAAATGATATAAACTGGAATAAATGCTAATTTATGTAAATTGTTAAAAACAACCCATTGTTACCCATTATTTTGAGGTAATGTTGGACAGAAACTTTGTCTGTTCCATGTAGTCTTTAAATGGTTCTGCTAAACTGAGATTTTATTGTATGCTTCTCTATTGAAGCATTTAGTAGTCGCTACAAGTCATTAAAAAGTATGTCCTTGATCAATTTTTCTTTAGGTGACGTGTTCTCTTCAGTCAGTCAGTCTACTTTCATGGAAAAACAAGTTTTGAATTTGCCGTAAACAACAAATGTTTCATAAGAGATCATGCTGACCTCTAAGTACAAAATGTTTTCTTCTGTT